TTAGGGCTGTTGGACATAGGGTCACTATGAGTTGCAAGCGACTCAACGGCACATAATAACAACAACAACATCTCACTTACTTTGGGCACATGGCCAGGAGAGACTGGTCCTTGGAGAAGCACTTCATGCTCAGAAGGGTGGAGGGACAGTGCAAGAGAAGAATACTTTGGATGAGACAGATTGATACAGTAAAGGGGTAAGGGGGATTAGTATGTCAGAATTAGTGAGACTGGCTTAGAACAGGAAGGGTTCAGAGCTGCTGTACACAGTGTTGCTATGGATCACAGTCAACTTGACGGCACATAACAACAATAACAACAGTCCCTCCTGACAACATGCCCCAAGTTATTGTTAGATGCCGCAGGATTGAGTATGACTCATGGTGACCCTATGAACAGCCAACCTGAATAGGACAGACTAAGTTTCACCGTCGTCGTTTCTAAGGAACACTTTGGATCACTTCCTCCAAACAAGCACCCAAGCAAACAGATTTGTTCTTTTGGTAGTACACAGTATATTCAATACTCTTCTCCAATACCACAATTCAAAGGCACTGATTCTTCTTTGGTCTTGCTTATTGTCCTATTTCCAGATGAATAGGGAACAGTTTAAAAGATCATGACTTGGATCAGGGGCACTTTAAGTCTTTAAATGTATATCCTTGCTTCTAGCACTTTGCAGCGATCCTTCACAGCATACTTTCCTAATGCAACGTAACTTTCAACTTCCTGACTCCAGTTACCAGAGGTTACATTAAGCAAATCTGTTGTCAAGATCGCTTTAAGGCACTGAACAGTAAGGATTATCAGTTTGAAGGCTAATGTGCACCTGATCCAAGTCATCATCTTTCTAACTCTTTAACTGTTGTTGTTAGATGCTGTTAAGTCGAGTATGATATAGTGACCCTATGAACAACAAATCTGAATAGTGCCCTATCCCATGCATCCTCACAGTCGCTGATACACTCAAGCCCATTGCTACAGTCACTGTGTCAACCCACCTGGTCATCTTCTCTTTCATAATCCCTCCACTTTCCCAAGCATGATGTCTCTTTCCAAGGAACACGCACAAAGGGAGATGAAGCTTCATCATCTTTGCAGCAAGGAGCAGTCTGGCTGCACCACCTCTAAGACATATCTGCTTACTCTTTTGGCAGTCCATGGGATGTTCAGCTCTCTTCTCCAATATCACAGC